TTATTTTTTGATTATTTAAAGCAATATTCTCTCTACAGTACCTCCTCCCAGTGTATCAATAGTTGCTGATTCTCCAACTGGTCCAATATATGAGAGTACAAGTTACCTACTAACCTGTACAGCTACAGTAAACACTACAATAGTGGATACACTAGTAACTGCTAGTGTAGTATGGACTGATCCTGGCGGTAATGTAATACCAACTAATGAATCAAGACGTCAAGTGATACCTCCAACTGGTAACAGTCTTGTAAGCATGCTATTGTTTCAACCTATTGATACTGGTTTTAATAATGATGGAGGAACATATACCAGTCAAATGATCATCAATTCTGGTAACTCATTAATAGCATCAAATCAAGCCAGTACTACTCATGATGTTATTGTTCAAAGTAGGTTATAGCATTATATAAAAATAATTAAATATCCCTCTTTGGTCCCCAACTCTCCTCTCTTCTTTACTCTTATTCTTCATCAGGTCTTCCTCCAATGACAGTAAATTTCTCATTAGTTGGTTTAGTTGAAGTTGGTCAGAGTCTAACTATAACATGTACCATAAAAACAGTTGAGAGATTAGTAGTAACACCATTGATTACTTTCATTAAAATAAATGAGACAGATTTTGAGTTCCTCTCTAACTTAAGCTATACAACAGATGATAATGCTTCAGTTACTAACTATACTCTAATACTGGATCCAGTGAGGTTTGAAGATGCTGGAATGTATACATGTATGGCTGAGTTTAATGTAACGTGGTTTTAATAATACCAATGATCCTAGCACTGCTACTTATGATTATCAAGAGAATAGTGATAGTTTTATTTTGACCTTTGACAGTAAGTCAACTATTATGCTATGCTCTACTTAAGTGTGTAAACTGTATGCATTTATTAATAAGCTTATTATAGAAAACTAATTGATATTTTGATTTCAAATTTACACTAAATTTTATAGTTCCGCCAGTGATTGTTACTGTATCAAAGGAACGTGATGATACATTATATGCAGGGACACCATTCTTCATTAAATGTGACATAATGTTAGATCCATTAGTTACTATACCAGTGACTGTCACTAATCAATGGATACGTGATGGTACTAATGTTCCTATGGGCTCATCTGATGCTACTATTACTGAGGGTCTCAATATGATCAATTCATTACATTATAATGCAACATTAATGTTCTATCCATTGGATAATGCTGATGATAGTGGAATGTATACTTGTAATGTTGAAGTGATTGCTACATATAATTACTTATATTTTAGGAATACATTAGCTAGTGCTAATATTTCCATTACAGTTCTTGGTAAGTAATGCTAATGTCACCATCTTTCTTCTCTTCCACTTTTTAATTTTTCCCCTCTCATTACAGCTACTCCAGTGCCAGAAGTAGAGATAGTAACTATGGGTATTGCTGAACCTGGTGAAGAATACATGTTAAATTGTACAGTGACAGTTGTTGATAGACTCATAGTCTCACCAGTGATAACATGGACTAAGAGATCAGCTAACAATGTTATTAGTGTACCTCCAGTTCTTATGACTGTATCTAATGTAATGAGTTCTCTTTATTTGAACTTCTCTTTTCTCAATACTTCTGATGCTGGTCTGTATACTTGTGAAGCCTCCATTAATGTTAGTCAGATATTCATGGTAGCAAGAAGTAATGAATCTTGGAATTTACCATTAAAAAGTAAGATCACATCTCTCACTTAAAGTTTTACTACTGATGTTTTTTATGTATCATTTTAGTTCCAGTTTCATCTGTTTACTTAAGCCAATCAAGAGGCTCTTACTTATTAGCCGGTAGCAATCTGATACTAACATGTGATATCAGTGTTGATCCTAATATTGATACACCATTCACTGTTAATGTAGCCTGGAACATGACTGATCAGCTAATTATAAATAGCAGTGATATAGCAAACAATGGTCATCCAGATTCATTGATGCTTGTTGATACAGATCGTGTTGATATCAGCTCTGTGATGAGATCAGGTTTCAATGAGTATAGATCAACACTTAATTTCACTACATTGAGCAGTATTGAGGATTCAGGAACATATACATGTATTGTTACTATAGTACCAGCTTCAGCTTATGAATATGTAATGACTTCTGATACTAATTACACAAACATTCACTTCACTGTTACTGGTAAGCTTTAATTATTGGAGACCTAATTTGATATTTTAATGCTATCACTAACATTTTCACTCTATTTATTTTATAGATCCAATTATTGGAAGTTTTTCTGCTTCCCCTGACTCATTTCTTAGTCTGGAGACATCATGTCCTGATTCAGACCCATATGATAACTTCACTCTTACCTGTACAGCCACTAAACCAACCATAGTAATACCAAACCTGGTAATAGCATGGACACATAATGGTACAATGGAAACTGGTACTGTGACTACTACTGGAGGAAATATGACTACCACTGTTACTAATACATTGAGTTTTAATGCCAGTAGGCCTTCTGATTCTGGTACTTATAGATGTACTGCTAATATTCCTATACTTGATTCTACTGATATTATCACTACTGGTGAGGAAAGTATTGTGGCTATAAAATGTAAGTATAGATGTAAATGTAAGTATTCCTCTCACCTCAATTCCTTATTTAATTTATAGCTCAGAGCCTACCAGTTCCTGCTACTAATGTAACAGCTACTCCAGGAACAACTACTGCTGCTATATCATTCATAATACCTAACATTGCCTATACACCTGAAACCTACAGTGTTAAGTATACTGGAGCAATCTTACAAACAGCACAAGCAACTTCTATCATAAGAATGAGCTCCAGTAACATTAGTGCAATTAACCAAGAATTTACAATCATGTTGGCTGGCCTTGAGGAAGATAACACTTATACATATACAGTTGATTCTACCAATTGTCTTGGTACTACTAGTACTGTAGAGATTAGCTTTAGAACACTTCCAGCAAGTAAGTAAAATACTTATTTTATTAATTTTCTCTAAATTACAGTGCCAGTTGCTTCTCCAATGAATTGTACTAATATAACATTCTTACCATATAATGTCACACTTATCTGGACTGCACCAGCACTAATGAATCAAAATGGAGCACCAGTTGGTTATAATTTAACATGTATGAATATTAATGGTGTATCAGTCGGTGGATTGCACCCAACACGATCTTCAACGAACACAATGTTCACTATTACTGATGTTATGCCTTTTACTGGTTACACTTGTGAGCTGTCATTTATTAATGTAGTAGGAGAAGGACCCAGCTCTACCCAGTGTACTTTTGAAACAGCTCAAAGTGGTAAGTACAATATTTTGTAAAGTACTTTATGAGTTATTTGTTGTAGTGCCATATGACTCTCCCCAAAATTTTACTTCCATTCCGGATCAAACTTCTGTCTTATTTTCATGGATGGAACCAACCAGTACTAATGGAGTTATTA